TAAGATAAAAGACTTAACATCCAAATACAGGATCATGCTTCTACTGTAGTAGTACACGAAGAGATTAATAGTGTTACGAAGATAGCAACTAAGGTTTAATGACCGAATAAGATGATCTTATTGTAGCTATAATTTACTATCATAATTTGTTATTGGGATGAGTTCTCCTAATATTTAAATTTTTTCTATTAGACAACTAAGAGAACCATTGATGAAATCTAATAGATCATATCCAAGGAGAAAATTAGTAAATGATGATCGCGGTGATTAGAGTTTCTACATTGATATATATATAAGTACCGTAGATTGAGATAAATTATATTTTCTGATAAAATAATAATTGGGATGTTAGATAGAGGAAAAAAAAATATGCTGAGAAGATGCTATGATTTAATAAGAAAAATATAGAGCTAATTAATGATCTGGTTTAAATGATCAATTGGAGAAGATCAAATCTAAGAAGTGCACAGGAGAGGATCCGATGGAGAAGATTAGATCTGAAAAGTACATAAGAAAATATTTAATTTAAGATGTGCAAAAGAGGGTAATCTCTTTTTTCCTCTCTTGAGTCCTCTTGATTATAAGTGTTAAAAGTATAGTCGAGAGGATAAAAGGTAATGGATTATCGTTAGGAGGTTGACTATAGATCAGAGGCACTAGTGATTTTAAAAAACTATATAGTTTACCTCAATTCTACAACACAATTTACTGTTTGAAAAAATATTTTACAAAATCATAAACCTTTAAAAACTCAAAATATTTGATTGTTTATGTTATCCGTAGCTATGCCCCTAGGCTTCATATAAGTTAATACCAAGATCTAAGTCTTGTATCTTCATTGGATATTCAATATTTTTTTTATTATAATCCTTAAACTCAAAAAGTTACATCATGTTATCCTATTTTTATTGAGTCTATTATTTCCTTCCAAAATCATACTTTTTCAGTAATGCAAGACACTATAGCAACCATCTATCATTGGATTTATATAAGTATACATCAAACCCTCTCAAATGCACCTCTCATCACATTAACCGATAGTTCTTCTTTAGACCTATACTCTCATATTAGTCCAGTTCAGTAGTACCTCATTTCTTTTGTAACTTCTTCATCTTCCTTGCTGTTAATTTACTATACAATGCTCAATGAAGCAACACCCTATACTTAAATTATGTTTTTGTCCTCTCCTCGATCAAGTAATACTAAAGTGCATTAGCCTGATTATATACGTATTAGTAATTCTTTCCTAATTCTTATACCTTCTATACGACCTAATAATACTATCGAGTTTAGACATCACATGATAACACACTTCAAAAATAATATCTTCAAATAATGTCAAATTATTAATCTCCATACTATCATAAACTCTCTATTTAAGTTTATTAAACCTACAACCATTACTCAAGCCCAAAAATCTTCACACTAGCATAAAGTCATGTGTAAGGGATACGATGCCTTACTCCACAATACTAATGGACCCTTGTCTCATCTCATCTCATATAAAATATCATAAAGTATAAGTGGATCTTTCAAATTAAATGAAACATAAATGGATCTATAGCTAGACACAAAGCATGTTTAGTGGCCAAAATGTTTCACCAACGATCAATTATTGATTTCGCATAGACTTTTAGTTTAGTTATTAAACTAATTATAATTTAATTCATCTTGAGTTTGATTATCACTGACATATATGGTAACTAGATATTAACAATAATTTCTTACGATGGATCTTAACCGAAGGTGACTTTATACAGTAACCCCTTGATTTCATTCACCCTCAGTATCCAAACTATATTTGTAAACTATAAAAAGATATTTATATACTTCTCCAAAAGATTGATATACCTAACTTAGCTTGTTTTTTACTTCAACTGATTTTATCAACTCTAAGTCTAGCCTATCTTTATTCCTATGATAATAAAAATGATATACATATACTTACTGGTTTATATGGATGACATGAGTAACTGAGAATCCTATCCAAAAATTAAACAAGGCATGATGCCATATATTCCTACGGTATGGAGATGAATATAAAAAGGTTATTAGAAAGAATTAAATATATATAATTTTGATAAAGCATCTAACAATATTATTAATATGAGAAGCAACGATAAAGCATCTAAAAATTAACAGTGCTCATTCACCACATCACCACCATATTAAGATGGAAAATCTTTTCTCCCATAAATCTTATAATGATTGAATTGCATATAATATTGATTCAAAATGGTATCAGGATGTAAAATAGTATGTTAAAATCATTTTCAAGCCATGCACTAAGAACAAGAACAAATCATCAAATCATCTTTTCGTTTGAACATTATGTCTAATTTGAATCACTCACCAACAGCTAGAGATATTTGAGCAAAAGTTGAATTCCTACTTCAAGTGGGTGTAATTGCTATGGGAAAATAAAATGGATATGTAACACAAAGTGATGTTCTAAGTTAAGAGTGCATGGGGTGGGATGCACAAGCCATTAGAGGAGAATGAATCTGCTGTTTACCACTTAGGAAAGACACATTTTTAAGTAAGTTAAGATTAGATATAATAAACTTGAGTAAAGATTCTAGAAAATTAATGAAATTAGGTAGAGGTAACACATTATGCACTTTTCATAGGAATATAAGCCATAATATTTCAAAAACATTAGAGTGGAAGAAGATGAAACTATAGGAGTTATGTGGGTGGGGTGTGCTTGCATAACATTGTTTTGGAGCTCTACAACTTATGAGCGTTGATTGCGTAGGAAAACACAAACTATAAGAAGCATTAGCATCTCCTTGTAAACTTTTGGAGATGATCATGTTACGATCAAGAGCACTAAGAGGGGGGGTGAATTAGTGCAGCGAAAAACTTTCGACGATTAAAACTACGTTCGTACGATGAAATCATTTTCGACGTAAAACCGTTGAGGGAGAGGCCACATCTATTGAGGGAGAGGCCAATTTCATGCACTAATTTATTCACTCTTCTATCTTTGATGTGATCAATTGCTAATCTCAACATAATTACCATGATTTTTGACAAAAAAAAATTGAATTATTTGTTTGGCATTGGATTTGTGAGAAAATACATTGTAATTTTTATGTATAAACGTAGGCCTTAAATCAATCGACCGATTCATCATCCACGATGTCTAAAATAATTATGTTCGAGACAAATATAGATAAAATTGGATCTCACACCGAAATTAATGATGAAAAAGATAAGCTAATCATAAGCACTTGGATTGGGTTTTAGTAATCCCTAAAATCTTAGCTATTAGACTCTTAATATGTCTTCAAAATTAATCTAGTTTGGTGCATGATGATTTGCAACTTCAACCAATAATAACCTAATTTTCAATTATTTTTTTTGAATACATATATACATGTCTGAAACCAACACGAACATGATGATAACTTTTCGTTTGGATGATCATCAAGTCAGTGGTTGTTCCAAAGTCGCAAGCAACGAGAGTTGAGGTGGCCATGGACTTGAGTGAGCACAGAATTCACCAACCCACCATCCCACGAAAGTGGTACTTTAGGTTGGCACACCTTGAAAAGTGAAGCGACTGGACAAATTAGAAGGAGACATAGCAACCGATGAGGGAGAGCGTGCACCAACCTCACTGCATCACATCATCACACCCATTTTGACCTCTGCAACAACAGGCTCAAAACATGTTTTCATCCTCCTCTCATGAATATGGATTTAGGAGGAAGAACAATGATAGCATCAATTAACTCCTATTTCGCCAGTTGCTTGGATTCTACTAGTGGTTATATATATGATTCTAGAACATGTTTAATATTTCCATCATCTTCATCTTTCATCCTCTCACCAACCGATATTAACAAGGAGAAAAGTTAGCACCGATGTGGCCACCAACCAACATTCTGCGGCTTTAAGGTTGGACGAGTCACTGAGCTCCATCAAGAATTATGTTGCACCGGTGGCTTTAGAAAGTGGAACCGATGAATGGCCCAAAAACAATGATTTGTTCTTCTTCCACTAGGATAACACTCGACAAGCGTCAGAAACATATCTATCCGAATGATTTCTTTTGCTACGATCACAGACATGAAAGCTAAGCATGTGGATCCCTGATTTCATCAAGAAGAGAAACTGTTCCTCCTTGTGTTAATCGCTTGACTGCTGGTTTCTTCTGCAACTTCATGCATGCATACATTTCATTTCATAGTGAGGCCACTAGAGAAGGATGAAATGGGGAGCACCTGCGCGATGGAAAGTGAGCCTTGTGCGCTCCAACTCACACACCACCGGACCAAACTACTTGTTTCTTGGAAGAGCTTGGCAGTGGAGAGCATACGGCTTGAGCTGATACGCGTCAAGTGGATAGATGTATGGGAAAGTTTCTTTTGTTATTTGAGAATGATATATATATATATATATATATATATATTCTAAACTTAAATTTACGTTGAAAAATATATGCAAAACCACTTATTTTATGGGTATATATATAGCAGCAATCTTTCCTATGGTTATTTATATTTTGACACTTCACATTTCTTTACGATATTATTTTGTGTTTATAATATATCTTCATTGCTCATTTTAATAAACCCACTACTTAATCTTAAACAGACATATGAAATGTGATAATTATCTTATAACTATCGAAAAAATTTTATGATACTCGCTAACACAAAGTTTGGAAAGGATCAATATACTAACACCTATTATCCATATATAAATGTTAACAAGATAAGAACATATAAGTATCTAACACAAAGTATAACAATCAAAATATTCATAATCCTATTTTGTCATCATACATTTTTTAGGCTTCAATTTGTCAAGACATTTATAAGATCTTATTTTACAATGAAAACTTAGTGTGCAATAAACAAACTAAAAAAAATAAAAAAAATAGAAAGAATCTCATGATAAAGTGGTCAAGTAATCAGTGGGAGGATTTGGTCAGACCCCATTACTATCCAAACTAATAATTACACTGTAAAGAGGCTAAGTGAGGTTTACTGTGGGCTGCACAACCAACCAACTGAGGAGTGGGAAACGTACGAAGACAAGAAACTATCCAACGTGCTAATTGTCATCCCCAAGCACAATCCACCCGAGCAAATCTCCGTCCGATTGCAGTGAATCCTGTCGACCCCGAGTTGAAAAGATTCGACTGCGTTTGGATATCAAGCTTGGATTCCAAGGCAAAGAACATATGCTAGCTTTTGCTGTAAAGCAGTGATGGGTTTCCTGCTTAGGTTCGTTGAGTATCTGATTGCCTGTGTGTGACAGCTTTACATACAGATGGTTGTTCTCCCTGCATCATTCTTTGTCTGGACTTGATTTGCCTCGGTGTTCATCACGCCGCCACCTTTTGAGTCTCTGCTGAGCCAAAGCGTGTTTTTTCTTGCGAAATCTATCAAGTCTTGTACATCATCACCTTTCCCTTTGAACTGCACTATTGTTTGATTTCATTTGAAGAGACTGTTCGCTGTCTTGTTCCAGGTAAGAAGGGTAGTCCGGTGGAATAAGAGATGAGTGCATCCTCAAGCAATTCTGCGTCACATGAGCCAGCTGCGAGTTCTTCTGATAAGCGGGAGTTGGAAGCCCGTGGGAAGAACAAGAATCAAGATGAGACCAAATTTACTGTCCCATTCTACCGGCTGTTCTCGTTTGCGGACTCCACGGATGTGATTCTGATGGTCGTGGGATCACTTGGTGCGCTGGGGAATGGGCTTGCTCTACCTCTCATGACCGTTCTGTTCGGGGATTTGATCCAGTCCTTTGGAGGAGCTTCGGACACACATGATGTCCTTCGTAGAGTTTCCAAGGTAAGTTCTTCATCGTCATACTCAGCTTAAGTTAATATTGGTTCTTCAACCATGAACTTGAGAATTGTGACCACAATGGAAGTTCAGGAGAGCACTTTTGATGGTTTATCATTATTAGCTAAAAGTAATCATTGGGATTCTTCCATGATGCCTACTTCTCATTTGACAAAATGCTTTGCACCTTTTTCCTCTTCCTGCTAGATATTTTTGGAGTTAGTATCTCCGTATCGCTGAATTAATGTTTCTTTTCTGTTTTTTGAACAAAAAAGAGAGTAAACGCTCATGAATTCTACCTCCTTAGAACTGTTAAGTGATTGATGATTTAATCACACTCAGGTAGCCTTGGAATTTGTCTACCTAGCAGTTGGAGCAGGCGTGACATCTTTCCTTCGTAAGAATACTTCATCTATTGGGGCCATATGATTTATAAATTCAGTTCTGTTCTTACAATGTATTAGTGATGGCTGAGATTTCTGATTTCCATCAGAGGTAGCTTGCTGGATGGCTACTGGGGAAAGGCAGTCTGCCCGGATAAGGAACTTGTACCTGAAAACCATTCTAAGGCAAGAAATAGCATTCTTTGACAAGGAAACAAAGACAGGTGAAGTTGTTGAGAGGATGTCTGGAGATACTGTTTTTATTCAGGACGCCATGGGCGAGAAGGTACCTATTCCAAGTTGTTTTTCAGCTATGACATTTGTACATGTCCATTCGGTTGCTTCAAGTTGTTTACCATTGCTATGTTATCCTTTTCCTTCGTAATTTGTTTCCGACAATTTTACAGGTC